AACTTCTACCAAAGTCATTTTCTGGTAAGATATCTGTACTTTTACTTGAGTATGGCTTTCAGGTACTTTATACACCACTGGTGACACACAAAGCTTGATGCTTTATCTTTTTGAAGTCTTTTAATTGGCGGAAATGAGATATAGACAATAATTTTGGTCTGAAATGCATAGTAAGTTACACAATACTTCTTGTTCATAGAACTGTTGTGTAAAAAATATCACACTCACCATCATGCTGTTGTCCTGATTGTCAGATCAGCTATTATTACCTGCAGCCCTGAACAATAGCACCATGGCCTATGACAAATGATGTGTGTAGTTTTTTTTATTTTTTTTTTTATAATGCTTTCTCCTACTACCACAGTTTAAAGTTGCAATGTAATGAGAATAACAACAAATATTTTCTTACATGTTGTAATGGACATCCGAGCGATATGGATTTTCGAAAAAGAAAAAAATGTAGGACGGGACTTGGTTCAAACAACCAGTTGTCGATTGGATGTGAATTTGCAGTCGACTCCAAAAAAAGGGGTTAAAAGATTGATATGCCAACAGAGAGAAGTCGGCCATTTCACTGGAAGATTGAGATATGACATTTTGACACTACAGTGAAAAAAAATAAAACATATGCATGGATGAATCATTCACAAAAAGATCAATAGCATGCATTTAGAAAATAAATAGGGTGAATTTCCATTTCACGAGTTTAATAAGCTAAAACAGATAGAGTGAGTTTGGTGTGAGACTACATATTTCTGTCCAATCATTTGCAGATGGGAGAAATCTGTTTTTAAGAAAACTATTTGAAAATGTAAAACTTGTTGAGTGCAATTTTGTTTGTCTATGCTGGTAGTGAAAAAAAAATACACTTCCCCTTATCCTATTGCCAAAATTTTAAAAAGACTGTGTTACCTACATTAACATAAAATACTAGCTATTTGCCTATTTTTATAGCTTGCATGAACTAGGTGACAGTCAAAAGTCGTTTCAGAGGTTGTAACAATTTCAAAGACATTTAAAAAGTAATATAGACAGACATGTATTAATGAAAATGAAGTGGGTCTATTTTGACTCAAATAAAAGTAAAGTAATGATAAGACAGTCATAGATGCTTATAAGTCGCTACGGACCAACCCATGTCTGCTTTTCAATTCAAAATGCCTGATTACCAATTCTTTGAGTGCGTCAAAGTCATACCCTCTCCGTACCCTCAAATTGTCATAATTATACTCCATATAATGTATAGATTTTCAGATTAAGCTTCAAACTCGTGTAATGGAGATTTTCTGCTGCATTAACATGAAATCAAATCATGTCATGTGTGTCACTATGAACCATGTATTTATTTATTTATTTATTTTGTGTACATATTGAATTTATGCAAAAACATACATGTGTGTGTGTGTGTGTGTGTGTGTGTGTGTGTGTGTGTGTAGTCGATCTTTAAGTAGATCTCAGCTTCAGAATAAAAGAGTGACAGTGATTTGAGAAAAGAGAGTATGGAGCATTTGATTTAGGGTTTCATGCGAACAAAACCGACATCTGCTTGCTCTCATTAATGGCACTGAAGCTAATCGGCAGGCCATAAGTGTGCTGACTCCGTAAATGGAAGCGCATGTACAACAGCTTCAGTGAAATCACACAGCTGTGTGTGTGCGTACAAAGCACATGCATTTCGTGATGTACGTATCTGTATGTGTGTGTGTGTCTTGTTTGTGTGAGACGCTGCTGTCTCCCCGCATTTCCACTACAGTAGACAACAGCGGACATCAAAGAACTTGAGCACTGGGCTCGAACCCTTCCGTCCTTCCGTGTAGTGTCTCACACACACAAAACACAGATGAATCGACCTCTAGTCTCTGCCAGAAGAATTCTGCATAAATTCGCCCACGACAGCTTATAGATTAAATTTGCACAAATATTAAAAATTAATTTTCACTCTGCAACTGATGGCCATCTTATACCGATGGTGCAATTCTTGTTGTCAGCTTCTTTAGAAATGTATCTCCGCTTCCTGTGTGATTTTGTCATGCGGAAATTCAGTCGCATACTTGAAGCATATTTAGGGGACACACACCTCAGAAACTATCATGTGCTTTTAATATGAAGAGCATTTTAATTGCTCTAAAAGAATCACACAATTCTGACAACACAACGATTACACCAATGTAAGAATTAGCTCTCTAAGATAACAACTGCATGTTTTTGCGTCATAGTGTAACTTCTGTCAAAAAAAAAAAAATGTTTGACATTTTATTTAACAAATGTTGAATTTATATAACAATTTGTGAACATGTCTTTTTAGAAGGTGAAACATATAAGTGACAAAACCGTATGCGAGATTGATTAACTGTTCATAATGAAGCACTGTAACTCTTAGGTAGATAAAGCAATTGATTTTTCAATAAATCTTTCTCTGGCGCTGATTCTCTCATTTAAAAGCATTCAATTTACTCCATTAATCGTATTCTTGAACAACAGACGAGACAGCCTAAACGCACAAGCTTATCATTAAAAAAATACCCCCAAAAATACTGCATTTATGAAGGTGTGTGTGTAAATGTATACCAAGGTGTTAGAAAAATCTCATTCAAATGGCCCTTTCTAAAGGTCATACTATGCAAGATAAATTCCTGAAAATTAGGATTACAAAGAAACAAACCTCTTGAAAGATTGTCATAATTTTCCAAGACATGTGCATTACTCTGCAGTGACATTTGGATGCTGTCCAGAGCCGTTTGTGCCAAAACTGGAGTGGATTCTGATAGGCTGCAGCTGCCCTGAACGATATTGAAAGGTTTGAGTGACAGCGGCGAATCCAAACTAGACTGAAAAGTCAAGCTGGGTATTGAAAACCCATTGAGTTTGACGTCAAAGGCTGTTTTTGGATCTGATGATTGTCATGTGACGCGCATTTTGGAGAAGCACAAAAACATGTGACCCTACTGAGGCAATTTCAGACCTTAAAGCACATATGTGAAAATGCACATGTCGTATATCGTCCGGTTTGCAATTCTTCCCCTGCACTGGTGATGCATTATCTATATTGCTTAGCTACTCCAGGCTTCTCAGTACTGTATCAATCGGATCACAGCTTCTGCCATGCCAAACAAACCATGCCGAGTGCTAAATCGGTTCCAAGCAACACAAATCTAAATACTTTGATTTTGCAAAATCCTGCGGCTCTGCCACAAACAAACGTCGTAATGCTGTAATGAGCTGCCTCATTGTCCTTTTCAAAGCATTTCCTGTTTTAGTTTCATAGCAGGAGGGCAAGACAGCTAATAACACACAGGCACAGCAGAAACGCTCTTCCCCTTGACATTTACAGTGTTGTGGAGTGAGTTTGATTGACCATCTGGCCTCTGAGAAGTGCGTTGTAAAAACAGTGAAATCAATGGAGGCATGACTACTGTGGATGCCCACCATTACACAAGTCGTGTTGATGGTGTAGCACTTAAGCTAGCACATGGCGAATGGATGCAAATACAGCCTCCCTCCTGCAACCTGCCTGCTCTCTTTGGACACAAGTCTCTAATGAATTTCCATGCTATGATGCTTACGATGTGGCAAACAAAACCTCACGCAGGTCAACAGTAAGCCCTCTGGTGGTACGAGGTTGGACTCGAATGACAGTAGACATACCATTATGCATGCAGACTTCAGTTATTTTGCTGCACAAATTTAGTGAGGAGAAAAAAAAAAAGCACAGCCAATACTCCCACAAAGTCATGCATTTTGAAAATCATATTTATGGGGTCCTTTAGAAGGACTCACTGCACACTGATCAAAAAAGACCCAATATTTTCATTAAGTGGTGTCTGTTTGAGAGATATCATTACATTATTTTTAAAAGCAGATTTTGTGTCAAGCCAAACACGGCATTTGTCATCTTTTTTTTTTCTTTCAATTGTTCAGTGGAAATATTAGAGCAACTTTTCAGAAAACATTTCCGTTTACACTGCCGCAAAAATAAAAGAAAAAAGATCTGAGCTGTCAAAGATCACAAATCTCAAGCACAAAGTATTTTACATACAGTACGAAAGAAACTGAATGCTCAAAATGTGCCCTAATAATGGTTCATTATTAAAAAAGATAAAACAAAAAAAAAGTTGAATAAGGAGGTTGACATCAAAGTAAATCTTTCAGAAAGAGAAAATAAGTAAATGCAGTTGAAGAAAAAAAGTAAAATGGAATTAAATAAAAATGCAACTTTATCAAACAAAAGTCAAACTGTAAGTATAAACGGAGTAGCTGTGTTTGAACTATGTATTTTAACTGCATAAATGCAACGCTGTCTCCTTTTTTTGTTGGGGAACTTGAAGGTTGTGCTTGGACATGTTAATGTCGCATAATGACATTTAGAGCCATTTTTTTCTGGAAGGCATCGAACCACTTGTCAAAAGTGATCTGCTTTCAGACAAAACTGTATTGATCTTTATTGGGCTCCTGTCTCCACGCGGCACACATATTTCAGCTTCTCAGACTGAGAAATATCTCTCTTTGTCAGGTTGCATGAGTGCACTATTTTTGACTGTATTACAGAGAAGCTTTAGCCTGGCTACACTGTGCGTAAAGGTGAGGTTTCCAGGCAAACTTCGGCGCAATGTTTCCTAGATCACCTGTTAAGACTGTGAACTTGTGTTTCAGGCGGATTTTTACAAGAAACACCGCAATGCCATAGTGTCAATAATGTAATGTGCTACAATTTTAACAGTTAAAATGTTCTCTTAGAAGCTACAAATGTTTGTGAGATCGCGAAATCAATGCAGCACCATCTGTTCCTAAGACGCGCGGCATGCCGATGGACGCGCAACTAAATTTCCAGCGCTTAAACAACTCCGTGGAAGACATCTATTCACATTTTCCACAGAGTTATTAAATGTCAAATGTGAACTAACAGCAGATCGAACCAAATTAACATCTCGAGCACTTTCAACACTCATAAAAACATTCGTTTGTTCAGTTAAAGAGTCGGTGTCCGTTACGCACTCTCTTACCTATCCGTATGACATGGGGCATCCCGACAGAGCTGTGAATCCAGAAGAGAGACACTATAATCGCGCTCCAGTATTCCACATATTCCCTCCTGTTCTTCATGACTGGAAAACACTGGGATCAATCCAAGGAGCTCTCCAAAAACTGCTCATCAAATTTGAAATGGCTGGGAGTCATATGAGGATTGGACTGACTGCGACAGATTTGCTCTCATTGTAGTTGGTTTGAACACGAGCTCGCTGTATTAATTATTTTATTCATTAATTTGGGCGAGCGAGTGAGTGAGTGCGCGCGTTCGGCTCTCAGACGAAGCTCCGGATCGGTGCGCGTCTCCACCTGCGAGTGCCGAGCTGCTGAAATCAGTCTGCAGGAGTCCCTGTATCCCCTCTGTATCTCCTCCTACCGCTGATGCCGCAACAACCGGGCTGGAGTCCCGCGTCAGTGTGGATGGGGACTAACGCGCTTCACGTTACGCTGTCCGTGTCGCGCTGTTCGCATATTGCGTATTATTAGAAATGCAATAGCGATAAGAACCGCCAGGCATATGCAGGGTCACTGTGATGTACGCTGTATAGCCTATACAGGTGGTTCCAAAAATATGAGTCTTTGAGTATGAAAACCTGTGATTTTTTTTTTGACTTCATTATAAAAACTTTTTTTGAGGAAGAAAAAAAAAAAAAGGATTTTGAAAAGTAAAACAAACAAACAAACGTAAAACAATTATGATGTGAGTTCAAGACGAGATAATTCAGATTTTGTACTATTTCTAAGGCACTAATCAAACGGAAGCAAATGATACTGTCCATGTTCAGTGCTTTGTATAACAGGTCAGATTTCTATTGAAGCACAAGATGCTCTTTGGAACATTCTCAAATCATGCTGGTTAACATGGATCATCATGGAGTGCTGCTGTCATCTACAGCAAAAGGGCGACACACTAAGTA